CCAAACCAGTCTGGGATTCTATGATTCTGTATCTGCACGAGCTCCTGGGAGAGGTACGCAGTGTTCCCTGGCTGAACAGCAGCTCAACTTCTAAAAGTCACTTTTAATGCCATCGTAATGACGGCAGCCAGAGGAAAACCACCTTCCCTGCCACGGCACCCAAACAAGGAAAGCTGTTTTTGTTGTAGTAACATCATTATGGTGCTGAAGTTCTCCTGGACAATTTCAGAGGAACAAGACATAAGAGCAATTCATTTTCATGACTAGATAGGAAACACCTCACACCAGCAGCACTTTCCTGCAGTAACACAATTACAATGGACTTCTCACGCAGATGGGATGAGAAAACAGCCAGAACACGATGCAGAGCACTGGACACAGCACCACGACTCACCTAAACCGAGTAAAACCCCAAGGGAAATCCACCCCAAACTCCTCCTATTCCATCAGCTCAGCCTCTCAGCCTTTACACTCCTATTTCAGTTCAAGGACCCATCTTGTAATAATGATAAACTGACACCTCAGCCCTCCCCATATTTCACTTCCAAGAAGGTCTGACTGCTGCTCTGGGGTTGAGGAGGAGAAAAGCTCCCCAGGTCCCACACTTTGTTCTTGGTCCACCTTCATTTCCAAGACTTTTTTTTTTAAACTGACAGAACTGACTGTTAAAATTACTTTTTTATATATATTTTTTTATTATTATTTTTTTAAATAAAAGTGCTGTCTTTAACACCACCACAACCTGCTTGTTTGTACTAACAGTGATTTTCACAATCCACCAGCACCATTCCATACGCTCCATTTTCCCAGGCTTTCATTCACATATTTTTATTTAATCATCTTTATCATTTCTTTTGGACTAATACAGATTTTAGTTTAAAAGAACTGCTCTGAACGATACCTAAACATAAAAATTAACTTCCCTGAAGATTATTTCAGCTGCATTTATGTTGTTTATACACTGATCAACTGCCTTGCGTAGGTAAAAATCAGCACCTTTGCACAAATAACACCCACTTCTTTTTACAAGAAAAAAATCACTTGCTCCATTTTACTGAAGGATTCTTAAACACACTTGATTTCATTGGGATTTCAAGACCTGCCACTCGTTCCTCTTAAATAAAAAAATATGGGGTTTTCCAAGCCAGTGCTAGTATTTTATTTCTAATAAGAGGTCTAGCTCTTACTTTTCACCAAGTAACAGACTCTAAAATCATGTGACTGAAGAAAATAATCTCAGTTCCACTGGACGTTTAAAAGTCTATTTTTGCCATTCATTACAGTTATCAAGACCCACAAATGTGACCTTTAAAAGCAGGAAAATGAAGACATCACCTGCTTTTTAGAGCCTCCTGCCCTTGGGGCAGCAGGCACATACCCTTGGGAGGTAAAACTGGAAGCAATGCATATTTAACCCCAAAATGTCTTCATTTTTGATAAATATTAAGTCCTGAAACTGTTACATGTTGAAAACGCTGCAGCATCACGCTCAACCGTGGAAATCTCTCATCGAAACTGAGAAACAGAGAATTTGATTCCCAGCTCTGGGCTGAGATGCTCCAGCAACACACCCCACGAGTGTGGTGTCACCAGCCAACCCCACCACCCTGATCGAGGCTGCAAAGCAGGGACAGGGAGTGACAAGGCAGCGCTGGCAGCCCCTCTGCTCAGGCTTCAGGGGCGTCGAGGTCTGGCTCGGCTCCACTGAGCGCATGAAACCGCTCTCCTCAGTGAACGTTGTTCTCAGTGAGGGCAAGTGTGTCGTCACTGCCAGACCTTCAGAAGGTCCCTCGCGAGGTACCAACCTGGTGGCACTGCTGCAGTCAAAGTCTTGGTGGTTTTCAGCAGCGTTTGCTGCGTGCAGAACTAGATTACTGGGTCACAAGAGATTGCTAGAAGCAACCAGCTAGTTTCACATCCAAATGGCATCTTGTTATTTCACATTTCCCCCTATTTCAGCTACTAGTGAAATACTCAGACTGTGAAACACCTCCGTTGTTAGGAAATTCTCATGCCACAGCAATCAGCTCAGCTTTATTTGCTCCACAACCAGTGCTGGCAGTGACAAGCCTCACATCCTTATCAATCGCCAGCAGCTGCTTACCTTGTGCATGACAATCTTCCTCTGAGCTGGTTCTGCCACATCAATCATCTTCTGTACCACGTAGTTGGCGTACTGATCCTTCATCATGGTGTATAAGGCACTGTGAGGGCCATCGTTCATAGTGCACACCTCATCGATCAGCATGGCACGCTCCGTGCGGGAGGCGTGAGTAACGCATTTCTCCACCACGTTGCTGTAACAATATAAAGAAAAAAAAGGACAATCCATGAGCATGGAAAATAATAAAAAAAAAAAGAGGACAATCCATGAGCATGGAAAATAATAAAAAAAAAAAAAAGAG